AGATAAATTAAAAACAAATTTACAATATTTAAGTAATTTAGTCGAGAAGAAATGTATTATTATTTTGAACTGCATTTCTCTTGTTCAGAAGTGAACGAATAATATCTAAAAAAATTAAGCAATTAACCTAATTAAACCTAATATAATGAATGAAAATTAAAATGGCAATAAATTAGATTTCTTTAAATTGATCATGTGTTTTTTTTTAAAAAAAACAATATCATTGTTCTGTTATAGAACACCGTTTTTTAAGTTAATTATGACTATTTTATAGCAAAATGTAAAGTACAAAATGGCATGACAAATATGAATTTACATTACATCAGAAATTTTATCCCTAAGTTAAATCATTACTTATATTAATGTATTATTAAATTTTAATACAAAATCTGTACGAAAAAAATATTGGCGAATTTCTTTAATATCGTATGGGACACTATACTTTTACACAAAATTATATACAATTCTAAATCATTGAGAACTGAGTGAAAAAAACTGTCAATTTCTGCTTGCCGTCTGTTGATTTTCAGGAGTGAGATAGTTAAGAGACTAATTTCTTAATGTTCCAAGTTTTCATTGTTTCAATATATAATTATTATGTTGTATGACCAGCTTGCAAATCATCTCGTTGAGGGATCTTTATGGATCTTCATACGACAAACATCCTCCAACCATGTAAATATAAAGTATGTCTAGATATTTATCCGCTTTGCTTACATCCATAGCGTGCGTGTCAAATTATGTGTGACAAGTAGGATTTCAAAATTGAACCGAAACACGGAGAGTGATGCATCACGTACCTCCGAACACAACAAAAAGTTTGCACAATGGGAGAAAATGAGGGGATCGCATGTTTATTTAGGCCAAATGAGTTTTTGTCGAACACAGATTAACTATATCAAGATTAAAATAATTTACTAATTATAGTTTTGACTAAATTTAAAATAAAATAATTTATTCTTTACAAGGAAAAAAAGAATATTATGCTTTAAATGAAAATGATTACGCTCAATAAGCTCAATAATGAATAAGTCAAAAAAAAAAATTCGAATTTGTTCTTTGAAGAGGAATTATTATTATAATAAATAGATAAAATTAAATAAAATTACAGTCCAATATTTTCAACGAAAAATGTATTAATATTAAAGTATGTAGTATTTATAGTATATATGAATTTTACTCGAACTTTCTAGTTGATCGGCAATGACATTTTTTGATCTTTTGTTCATCCGACCTTTTATTTGTAAATCAACCTTTTCTTGTGATAATTTTTTCCCTTTCTTCCGGTGTTAGTAATTGCCTTCAAGTTAAATGAACTTTTGATATCGGTTTCATCTCCATTTTGTAATAGATTTATTTGCAATTTAGCTTCGTTACCTTTTGGATGGTATATAGACTTTTCATTATTGCTTATTACTTTAGCTACATGATTCGCATTAACGTTCCCACTTTTACCCATTTGATCATTTCTTCGTACATACTTATTAGAATTTTGTAAATTTGGATCTCGATTTATTTGATAATTTCTTTGCCATTTAGCCTTTTCATACTCTGGTAGCAATTTCCACAATTCTGCTGGTCGATCTTTCATCTTTTCTTTACGATATGAGATGAACAGAACATATTTGGTTCTCGTTCTTCTCTTCCGGTGTTTCCAACGTTTCGGGTTCAAAAAAATGATATACAATTTTCTTATCTCATCACTTATTTATTTTTGCGTTTCAAAAAAATAAAAAGCTAGATCGATAAAAATAACCATTCTAATTTTGTTTTTATATGATCCATGCTATACAGAATTAATCCAATTGAAGATTAAATTAATTGGAAAAAGAATGAAAGAAAATTTATTTCGATCGCACAGGATTATGCGGTCAACTCCGACTAGCTCTTAAATACGCGTTTCTATGTTTATTATTGTTTCCCTTAACCAATACAATATCCGCTTAATAATTACTAGAAATTATTCTGAGTAAAATCAAATTACGTAATTATTTTTGCCTCATTTATTTTGGAATTCATTTATACTGAATGCACAATGTATTATTTTTTTATATTTAACAATACTGAATTAAAGGTTGAGATAGAAAGATAAATATTGTTACCTTTCATTAATAAATGTATGCAATAAGAGGATCGATTGTTTTGGGAGCAATGAAAGAATTAATACTTTATTATTATTAACATCTTTTTGTAAATCTAATTAGACCAATATTAATGCAAGTATGTGACATAATGAAAGCGATCTTATACACTTACATAACAGAAATTCTATTCCGTTCTAATTTGTAATTCATATGATTCACGCACACGCAGAGCAGATTTAATTAAATTAGTTATTATGTGACTGCTGTCCGCATTAATTGGTGATCAATTGCATAAATTTTTATCAAGAGTAACATTTTGTGGAACAGAATAAGCCTACCCCAGACAGTCTTGCGCTATTAAAAATCAAGTTACGAGATGAGTTTTAATAGCAAACTTCACACATTTATAATTAATTTATAGAGAGCTCGTTTAGAAAATAGAACAAAGCTCAGTATGTATTGATATTCAATTAATAAATTGTATAAGATACAAATAAATTTCAAAGGAAAATTAACTTTCAAATAAAGTTAAATAAATAATAAAATTCGTAGTAAAGAAATATAACGATAAGAAAAATTATTTCGGATAAATGTTAATTTTCTCATTGAAAAAAATAACATTATTATTAAAATAATTTATCGAATGATTATTTTTATATACCGTATTCCTCCGAAAATAAGCACCTCTTTTTTGCTATAGGAGTGCTTATTTTCGGATACTAAAAAAAA